TGACACTTACTAGCTGTGTGACCCTGGGCAAGTCACTTAACCCCAATTGCCTTAAAAAAAAAGAGAGATTTCCTTAAAACTGTCAATTAGTCAATCAACAAGCATGTATTAAGGACCTACTATATGCCAGGTGTGTTGTGCTAAGTGCTGGAGTTGTTGTTCAGTCATTTTCAGTCATGTCTGACTCTTCCTGACCCTGTCTGGGGTTTTCTTGGCAAAGATATCTGAGCGGTTTGCCATTTCTTGCTTCAGCTCCTGCTCGTGAGGCCTAAACAGGGTTAAATGACTTGCCCAGGGTCACACAGCTAGGAAGTGGCTGAGGCCAAATCTGAACTCATGAACAAGCCTCTTCCTGATTTTAGGTCCGGGCACTCTATCCACTTCACTACCTAACTGCTGGAGTTCCAGAGAGAAAAATGAAAGTCCCTGCCTTCAGAGAGCTGCCATTCTGCTCCAGGAGACAATGTGTATAAATACTTACAAAATAAATACAGAGTAAAGACAACATAGACTAGCTGATGACTTTTTGAAATGGAAAACATGTTCCACTTTGGCTTTTAAAGAACCAGAGTGTTTCTGTATTTAGAACTCTAATGTGAGCTACTGTAGTAATAGCTGCTCAACTTACTAGCTAAGTTGTGACAGTATTTCATTAATGAGTCAAAGATGAAAGGAGGAAATGCAGTGTACTAGCGCTGGGTGAAAACTCAGATGCTTAGAGATGTGATTATAGTCTAGGGCAGAGGTGTCAGCCACATGACCTGTGGGCCTTGTGTGGCCTGTAACATCCCCGAATGAGGCCTGGACCAGATTAAACTGTAATTGGGAAATATTTAGCGAAAATAAATAAAAGTAACAATAAAACATAGATAATGTTGATAGGTGGTTTTTGCAGGGATCCTTATGTGTGGTTTAGAGGCTCCCTTTTCTATTTGAGTTTGATACCATAGGTCTAGTAGATTCCACCTCAGTTTCATTCCAACTTCCCCTCCATACCTGCTGTTGAAATAAGAAGTGGGCTGTTTCCTCTGAACGTTGACCGGCCATTATCTCTTTCTTCAATCCTGTCCCACATGAAGAGGTGGCCTTTCTCCTGTCCAAGCCAAACCCCTCTACACGCACACTCTCTCTCTCTCTCTCTCCCCCCTCTCTCTCTCCTCTCTCTCTCTCTCTCTCTCTCTCTCTCTCTCTCTCTCTCTCTCTCTCTCTCCCCTATTCCATCCCATCTTCTCCAGTAGATTCCCCTCACTATCATCCTTCCTCTCTCACTAATCTTCACTCTTTCCCCGTCTACGGGCTGCTTCCCTACAATCCACAAACATGCCCATGTCTCTCCCCTTTATTTAATTTGTCCATCCTCACTGGTGATTACCCTCTACTTCTTGTGACTTTTGTGGCTAAATTCCTTGCAAAGGCTCTCTCCAGTTGGTGCTTTCTCTTCCTGTCATCTCATTTTTCTCATTTCTCTAGAGTCTGGCTTCTCACCTCATCATTCGGTTGGAATTGTTCTCTCCAAATTTAGCAGTGACTTCTTAATTGTCAAATCAAACAGCCTTTTCTCAGTCTTTCTGAATTCTCTGTAACCTTTGACTGTTGATTATATCTCATCAGTACCTTTGTTCCTGGACCATCTTTGATTGGAGGGTAGAAGCTCCCCCTTTGTAGCTTTTTTAGCTTTCTTTTGTATGTTGTCTTTCCCCATTAAATTGTAAGCATCTTGAGGGTGGAGACTGTCTTTGTTTTTCATATTTGTATCCCTAGTGTTTTATAGTGACTAGCACATAGCAAATACATTTATTGACTGACTTACTGACCACCATCTTCTTGATACTGTCGATTTTTGTAACACTAATCTCTCCTGGTTCTCTTCCTACTTGTCTGATCAATCCTTCTCAGACTTGGAGGATCTTTGTCCAGGACATGTCCCTAATTGTGTCAATACCCAATACAATGCTGAACTTTGTCAACAGCTTCTTCTACATCTACTGACATAATTATGTGGTTTTTGTGATTTTTTTTTACCATTTATTTTATTTTACTTTTTCCAATTACATGTAGGTTTCCATTATTTTTGTTGTTTATATGATTAATTGTGCTTATTTTTTTCCATAATGCTGAGCCATCTTTGCATTTCTGGTATGAATCCAACTTGGTCAAAGGAAGTAGTTTTATAGATATATTGCTATGATAAGATTTTATTTAAATTTTTTATATCAATTTTCATTAGCAAAATTGATCTATAGATCTCTTTCTCTGCTCTGTCTCTCTTGGGTTTGTATATCAGAACCTTTAACATTTTTATAATAGTTTGGATGAAGATTCAGCTGTTATACTTCTGAAGTTTGTGGATAAAATGAAATTAAGACAGGTATTAGTGCATAAAATGACAACAGAATTAGTGTCTAGAAATAGCTCAACAGTTTTGAACAGAAGCTAAAGTTATAAGATAATGTTTATAGGAGTAAATGTAAAGCTGCGCAGTTGGGTTCAAAAAATCAATTGTACTAGGTATAGAGTATGAGTCAGAAGGGGAGAATGTAGTTAGATGTAGCAGCTTGACTGACTAAATTGTTTACATTCTAAACAGGTTAGAAAGACATTCTCTTCTTATTTTAATGCAAGCACTCCCAGTTTCTTCAAGCAATCCTCACAAAATCTGGTTTCTAAATTCCTTGTTGTCTTAGTCAGTTTCTTTTCTTTCTTTTTTAAATGGTATTTTATTTTTTCCCCAATTACACTTCAAGACAATTTTTAGCATTCATTTTTACAAGATTTTGAGTTTCAGTTTTCCTCCCTTTCTCCCCTCTTCCTAAAATGGTAGGCAATTTGATATAGGTTATATATGTGCTATCATGTAAAACATAGTTCCATATTAGTCACAGTTATGAAAGAAAAAGCAGACCAAAAGGGAAAAAAAAAACACAAAAAAGAATAAGTGAAAAAAGTATGCTCCATTCAGAACCCCTCAGTTCTTTATCTGGATGTGGACAGCATTTTCCTTTGTGAGTCATTTGCACTTATCTTGGATCATTGTGTTGCTGAGAAGAGCTGAGTCATTCATAGTTGATCACCACACAGTGTTGCTGATATTGTGTACAATGTTTTCCTGGTTCTGCTCATTTCACTTTGCATCAGTTTGTACAAGTCTTTCCAGGTTTTTCTGAAATCTGCCTGTTTATCATTTCTTATCGCACAATAGTATTCCATTACATTCATATACCACAGCTTGTTTAGCCATTCCCCAATTGATGGGCATCCCCTCAGTTTCCAATATTTTGCCACCATAAAAAGGGCTGCTATAAATATTTTTGCACATGTAGGTCCTTTCCCCTTTTTTGTGATCTCTTTGGGATACGGACCTAGTAGTGGTATCACTGGATCAAAGGGTATGCACAGTTTTATAGGCCTTTTGGCATAGTTCCAAGTTGCTTTCCAGAATGGTTGGATCAGTTCATGACTCCACCAACAGTGCATCAGTGTCCCAATTTTCCCACATCTTCTCCAACATTTATCATTTTCCTTTTCTGTCACATTAACCAATCTGATAGGTATGAAGTGGTATCTTAGAGTTGTTTCAATTTTCATTTCTCTAATCAAAAGTGATTTAGAGCACTTCTTCAACTACCTATAGATATCTTTGATTTCTTCATCTGAAAACTGCCTGTTCATATCCTTTGACCATTTATCAATTGGGGAATGGCTTATATGCTCATAAATTTGACTCAGTTCTCTATGTATTTAAGAAATGAGGCCTTTATCAGAGAAGTTTGCTGTAAATATTGTTTTCCAGCTTTCTGCTTTCCTTCTAATCTTGGCTGCATTGATTTTGTTTGTGCAAAAGCTTTTAAATTTAATATAATCAATTATCTATTTTACATTTTGTAATGCTCTCTATGTCTTGTTTCATGTTCTGTCCTTTGCCATAGATCTGACAGGTAGACTATTCCTTGGTCTTCTAATTTACTTACGGTGGCACCCTTTATGTCTAAATCTTGTACCCATTTTGACCTTATCTTGGTATACAGTATAAGAAGTCGGTCTATACCTAGTTCGTAACCTATGTCCTAGTCACTTTCTCCTGAATATCCTCTAGTTTATCTGTTTGTGGTCTCCAGAACTTAACACAATATTCTACATGTGATTCAGAGGAATTCTTACCTTTCAACATGGATTCTGTGCTTCCATTAATGTGGCCTCAGGTTGCTTAATTTCTTTTTACCACAAACAAGACAGATATCGTTGGCTTCTACTGAACTTCTGGGCCTTGGGGAGCTCCATGTATTTTTCATATAGCTCTGGAGAGGTACTTTTTTCAATGTTGTTTTTAGGAATTTTAATTTAATACTTTTTACTTACTAACTTTAAAAATTGAGGGTCTTTTATGATGGAAGAGGAAATATTATACTTCAGCACCAGTTATTGTCTTTATGGACTGTGCAAGGGTGGGGAATCTGTGGCCTCAAGGTCACATATGGCCCTCTAGGTCCTCAAGTGTGGCCCTTTGATTGAATCCAAACAAATCCCCTTAATTAAAGGTCACCATAGTATATTTTATTAGAGTCACCAAACAAAGATAGTTGGAATTGTTCTTGTAAATTTACATACATTGCAAATTCTTCTAAAATAATTTTTAATGAGAAGCTCAGTTTTTTGGTTAGAAATGTTCCAAGATACCCATTATAAAATTGCTCGACATTTTCTTTAGTCTTTCGTTTTAAAAAAAAAATCTTTCTCCTCCAGTCTTACAAGTCAAGAAGAGAAATTGCCATTAATGCTAGAAATGATTCTCACCTTTTGAAAACAAGCTTTTATTTTGCCTTAAGTTGCTCACATCAAAAGACCACTTGCTGTTTCCCTAGATGCTGCTGTTTGACTTAAAAGATCACTCACCTTCTTTCAACAGTGTTGATTAACTGTGAAAATCTGATTTTCAAAATAACAAGTCTGTTGATGCATTGCCAATATTACAATGACGGATGATCCCTTATTCCTATTTTCAGAATGGCAGGAGGTCGGATACTCTCGGCAATAAAGACAGAGTTGATAAAAGGCCGAAGCAGTGGGGATCCATTCCGGCAAGCAACAGAAGAAGTTACTCAGGATTTGGATTTGAGGATTAAAAACATTATCAACTCTCAACAAGAAGACAGAGTTGTTAACACCACTGGCAGCAGCCCAGCACGGGTAATGGATTGCCTTTTTCCTTTTTAGTCTCCTAATGAAAGAATTATCTCTTTTGTCATTGGAAATATGATTCAATACTTGCTTAAGGCAGAGGAGTGTGACTTCCTCTGTATTGAGACTTTGTTCAAAGGAAATCTTTTCAAGTAAGATCGTGTTAATTTTTTGGTTGTCAATTTCTAACAACTGAAAATATTCCTAAATTGAATGTTGCTATCTGAGGCAGTGTAACCCAATGGCAAGAGTACTGGACAAAGGTCAGAGCATCCTGGTTTTAGTCCTCGATTGACTGCTAAGTACAATTGTGTGATATTAAATAAGTCACATAATATTGAGGAGACAAAATGGTGCCCTGGGGTCAAAGGACCTGGTGAAAATTCCAGCTCTGACACTTAACTACCTGTATGACCTTAGCAGGTGACTTACCCTTCCTGGGTCTCAGTTTCCTCAAGTGTCAAATGTGGGGTTTGGACTAATTGACCTCTAATGTAGCCCTTCCAGCACTAACATTCTATTAATTCAAAATAATCTTTAAGTTCCTTTCTGTCATGAAAAAATATTATGATCCTTAGCTCATGTGGTAGTTTAAATATAGTTTATAAATTTGTGTAAATATTTGCTATTTAGCTACCATGGCAGTTTTTCTAAAGCATATCCTAATTTCTCCCCATCTACACCAATTATAAAATAATGTAGTTTTCAGCTCCCAGGTCCCTTGTGGTATGGCATGCTAGGCATTATAAAGTAATGTTAGTCTTTTTGATGGCTAATTTCAAACCAGGCCTAGTGGTGATTGTGGTCTATAGCTAAAACTCACCTTTTCCAGCAGAATTTCCCCTACTCTAGATTCCCTCATTCTCTACCAGACTTAACTCTGTACATAACTATGCCAAAAAAGTAAAGGAAAGATCAATTTTCTGATATCTCATCACCCAGTTGGCTACAGCTGATGAATTTCTCAGGCACAGAAGCTCTTAAAAACATTCTTTATCAGTGCAGAGATTTTTCATTAGTGGAGGGGAATACCCATAACAGTGAAAAAAAGTGTTTTTAATGTCTAATAATGTAGGAAGCTTGTTATAATATCGTTTTGCCCTAGAACAAACTTTGTTATAAGATGGTTCCGTCTTAGATTTTTCCTAAGGGTTTTTATTAATTAGCCAGTTAAGGACCTTTTCATAAGTTGGCTCTGTGATATTGACCTTACAGACAGAATTATAATGGGCTCCAGTGTAGAAAGAAAAACTCTTGCTTAACTCTTGTCCCTATGTTAGATTCTTGTCGGAAGGAGCTACATTGAGGGATGCCATTCTAGCTGAGATTGCCCCACACTATGACAATCTGCAGATGGGAGAAAGCCCTGCATCTCCACTGTGTATTTTGATTAAGCCTAAAGGGGTGAGCAGCAGGCCTATTTCACCTCACCTCAGTGAGCCCCAAAGGATCCTTGACCTCTGACTGCCTACAGCCCCCCTGCCTGAGCCTGAGTCAGGTGATAGCCCCAGGTGATGAGCAGCACAGTGGATGCAACAGCTCCTAGCCCCAGGGCTCAGGAGTGTCCCATCTCTTGCAGCAAGGGTTTTTAAAAGCAGCAAGAATCTGGTTTCAAAATAGAAGCTTTTAGGCGAGTCCCAAGTCCTAAAACTAGGGACATTCCTTGAGGCTTGGAGTTGGTGTTTGCTTTTAGATTGTCTAAATATAGTAATAAATAAATGGTGATAAACATACGGAATTCATCGGTCCTGACAATGAACTAGAAATGGTTTGGATAGGTTGGCAGATGTTAGAGCTACAGGTTATTAAGCAGCAGTGAAGGCCTTTTGGAATACGTCCCTAGCCTTTTGAGGTTTATATCATGAATGCTTTGCCACAAACATGGTCTTGGTGCCGCTGTTTCTGAGACAAAATATTGGATAAGCAGGAACATTTTAAATCACAATGAGATTCCTGCCATTGTATAGTCACAGTACTTTGCTGTTTTTTGTTGTTTGATCTTAATGACAGTCCTGTGAGGTCAGGCTGAGGGTATCATCCCCATGTGATGCTTGAAGAAACAGATACAGAGAAGTGTCATTCCTGGAGTCCTAGGGTCAGGCTCTGACAGGAGGAGGACTTGGGCCTAGGTGTCTTGGCACAGCCTTCTCTTTCTACTTGATCCCACTCCTTTCTACAAAGCTATGGATTTGGACCTAGAAGGGACCTAGGTTATCCAGTCCAATCCCCTCATTTTTCAGTTGTGGAAACTGAGGCCCAGTGACACTGGTTTTCATGTGTGATTTGTACTTGTTGTCTCACCATTTTGTGGTCTTACCTCATAGTTACCAAAATGATTTTCCTAAGCCATACTTACTCCTCTCGCTTCCCTACCTCATATATCCCAGTGGCTCCCTATTCCCTTTAGGATCAAATATAAGCTCCTCTGTTTAGCTTTTAAAACCTACATAACCTGGCTTCAACCCACTTTTCCAGCCTCTCCTTCCTGTCCTGGGCAGTTCAGTCAAACTGACCACCTCTCTGCGCCTCTCTCACACAGGAGGCAGGCAGACTCCCCATCTTCCACCTCTGTCCCTTGCTCTTGCTATTATCCCCCATGCCTGGAATATACTCCCACCTTACCTCCCTTTTTCCAAATCCTTTGTTTCCTTCAAAACTGAGAGCAAGTACTGCCTTCTCCATGGAGTCTCTTGTCATTCTCTGAACTGCAAAAAATTACCCTGTATTTAATTCCTATCTATTTCCTAGATGCTTATTTCTGTCCATGGTGTTTCCCATAGTGGAAAGTAAGCTCCCTGAGGACAGGGACCAACCATTTTACTTTTGTCTTTGTATCCCCAGTGCCTAGCACAGTGCCTGGCACATAAAAGGTACCTTAACAAATGCTTATTGATTGAGTCATAGTTAATGTTCAGTTAGCCCACCAAGGAAGGAGAGTATTGACACAGATAATGGAAGACTATGAGTAATGGGGCAGGGATGGGGAGGGGACGTGTGTGTGTGTATAATCTTTATTACCTCTACTTTAAATTATTTTTGGTTTTAGCCAAAATCGTATGCCATTAATCATGGCACTGCCTACTGTGGCAGAGAGACGGTGAAGATTTTACTTGTTCTCTTGGATGAAGAAGCATCGAATCCTCCCACTGAAAACAAAGCAGACCTTTTGTATGGGGAAGAAAATACAACTTCATACACTGGCACTCCTATCCTGACTCTTTTTAGGTGAGGAATGAATGAATGAATAAATGAATGAATGAAGAATGAATGAAGGAAAATTTATTAAGTGCTTACTATGTGCTAGGCATACAGATGTAAAAAGAGTGATACCACGTGTCCTTCAGGGAGCTAATGGGGAAAGACAATGCCTCTAGGGCAGTGGAGGCCGAGAAAAGAAAAGCAGGGCTGGCTGGGATGTGGTAAATAGATGGTAAGATAGCCTGGGTTGACAACTGCAGAGCTGGATAGAATATAAAAGTGGATGGCAGCCTGGTGTCTGAGGCCAGTCAGGAGACATGATGGAATAAGAGGGCTGGTTGCATTTATTCATTAACCAGCTGAAATGCCCCCTGTGGTAGGAGCTTCCATGAGGAAGGGATAAACTTGACCAGGGAGGGGAAGCATGGATGGGTTCTTGGAGGTCTGGGCCTCCATTTAATTACTAAATGAGGACATTTTTAAAATTAATATCTGCCTCTCCTTACTAGTTTAATTATTTGTTTGCTGGAAAGCAGAATGGTAAGCCAATTGACCTCTCAAGGATGCTTTTAAGTCATTCATTCTCTGATTCCAATTTTTCCCTCAAACATTCATTTTGTTAAAAGATGCTGACCTGATTCTTCCTTTAGAACAGTGATCTCCAAACGTTTTTGATCATCTGTTAGAGCTATCCCAAAGGTGCCTTCAGAGGGTCTATAGAAAATGTATTTCATTCCAATACTCTTATTCAAGTGCAAAAAAAAATTTTTTTTAATCCATTTTGGAAAATTGACCACAGAAGACTAAATATAAAAAGTCATAGGATGAGGACATCTCTTTTCACGTTGGTTCCATGTGAATCGCACCAAGACATGAGAAACAAGTAATAGTGATGATGATAATAATCACAGCTTTGGCCAGAATCCTGTACATTCCTGCCTTCTAAAGGCTCCCTTGTTACTCCCCACTCACAGCTCTGCACTCACTGTAGATCTTCTGGCAAAGACTGAATGGAGGAGGATTCTTTTTTGAGGCATGTGTTGTACCAGGTCACGTCTAAGGTCCTGTCCAGTTTTGATATTCTGTGATATTGTGATTAGGGTGACCAGCATTCAGAAGTGGTACCAAATCAATTCATTTTAAAAATAATTTTTATCATTATAATTGCCTGAAAGTTTACATCCTGAATCGTTGCCTAAAATTTGAGTTTTTAAGAAATGAAAATAATGGCCTACATAAAAAATGACCTGTGTAAACTTAATTAACTCCCAGGACTCTAAGAAAAGAAAAAGGAGGTGAAAGCACCATTATATAAAACTGCAGAGACTCATAATCAAGAATAAATCATCTAAGATCATAGAAATGCTGCTTTCTGTGGGGAAAATCAGAATAAATAAAAGCCACCTTAGAAGATGGATTATCATTACCTAATTCTTTTTTTATTCAGTTCTCCAACACAAGCAAATGAATTCCTGATCAAGCCTTTAAGAGAACGTGTTCAGAAATCTATGGAAGAGAAAAGAATAAAGGTACGGTATGATTAATTTGGTTAAGTTATACATGAAATTATATTATCATGGATGTTACGTACAACTACAAACATCTTTGGTGGTAGCATACTACATAAAGGAGATACAGGATAAAATGCAACATATCTAGGAAAATCAATTTTAAAGAGAATATTGTAAATTTTTAAGTTGACTATTATAAAAATACTCTATCTCTGCAATCTTGGTTAATGTGCCTCTTGCTATTTAAATCTTTCTTGTTTTCAAAGAAGAAGAAGAGAAGGGAAAATGAAGCATGAAAGATGAAAAAGCCTTAGATTTTGACCTAGAAAGGACCTTAGAGGTTTCCTTGTCCAACTCCTTCCTTTTACAGATGAGGAAACTGAGGCTTAGTGAGGTTGAAAGATTTAGCCAAGGTCCCACAGATGGGGAGTATGTAGCAGAGCTGGGGTTCTAGCCCAGAGCTTCTGACTCGAAAACCAGTCTTCTTTCCATTCTACCTTCATTATTTGCATTTCTAATATCTTTAGTTTTCTGTCCCCAGCACTTTCCTGTGCTTTTTTTCTACACTGTTTAAGGTTCCTAGAAGACCTTCTGCTCACTTCTCTGGTCTGGTGAAATCCTAATGATCCTTTAAGACCCTGCTCAAATGCCAGCTCCTTCATGAAACCTTCCTGATTTCCCCAATCAATAATGATTCTTTTCCACTGGAATCTCACTGATTACTCTGCACTTAAAGAGGTCATGTGATCTGAAAGATGGCGATATAAGTTATGTTCAACCCCGGTCTCTGGTTGTGCAATCTTAGAACAGTTTTTTTAATAATTTATAGTATAGACATTTATAGTAATTATTTATAATTTATATATACTATATATATATATGTAATATATACTATAATATATAGTAATTAGAATTGTACCACAAAGGGAAGGAGGAGGAGACTGCTTGTACATGATTTAAAGCCTTCTGAGATGATAATGGAGAGTGAAACTACCTGAAGCTCCCACTCGCTCACCTTAACCATATGCTGGTGGACTATGTGCCCAATGCAAAGGATTTGCCATGCTTGAGCTCCAGACTTCAACAGCAGTGGCCTCTACCTTGGTATCCTCATGTCATGACTCAGTCTGAATTCCCCACTTCTGGTGAACTTGTTGGGCATCATGACACAAAAATGGTATGATAACAGTGAACTAGGTGAACAGACCCAGTGATACAGAGCTTGTTAGAGGGGCAAATATTTCCATACCTAAAGGAAAGGGTTGGTATAAACGCATCTGTAGTCCTCTCCACTTCCTAGGCATCCCAACAAATCTCCACACATCCCAACATAAAGAGCTTAAGTTCACCTTGCCCAGAGGGTCTGGACAGTAGAGAACATGTTCTATGGCAATGGAAGGATGAGAGGTGGAGGAATAATGCTGAGAACAGAGGAAAGATGGCAAATGACCAGAAGGCCAAGAGAGAGGTTGAGTTGTTATTGTTGTTTGGTTGTGTCTGACTCTTTGTGACCCCATTTAGGGTTTTCTTGGCAAAGATACTGGAGTGGTTTGCCATTTCCTTCTCCAGATCTTTTTACAGAAAAGAACTGAGGCAAACAGGGTTAAGTGACTTGCCCAGGGTCACCCAGCTAGTAAATGTCTGAGGCCAGATTTGAACTCAGGAAGATGAGTCTTCCTGACTCCAGGCCTAGTGCTCTATCCACTGTGTCACCTTGATGCCTGAGACATTGAATATAAATTAGCTAATAAAGCAACAGTCAAAATCATAAAGAAAGAGAAAAATGAGCAAGCAGGCAATAAAAGATCACGATGCAATGAATAAATATTGCAGTGTTATGGAAACTGAACCAAAATTTCACAATGAAAAAAAGATAGTAAGTTATGCAGAATCCCCAGAAATGATGGAACAAGAAACTCTGGAATTGTTTAAAAGAGAAATTGAACTATTATAGGAAGAAATTCAAAGGAAATTAGTGCAGAGCTCAGGATATTTAAAGAAGAAATCAGTAAAACAAGTCTGAGAGTAGACGATTTAGAACAGATGACAGAATTTTCTCAAGACAGTAAAGGCCATAAGAAAAAATGACAGGCCTGAAACTTAATAAAGAAGTGGAATAACTTTAGGCAGAACAAAAACAAAAGAAAATTACATTGGAAGAACACATGAATTTTATGAGAGCCGAAGTGACTGACCTGGAAAACATGGTATGTAAAGGATAACTGAAAGATCATAAGATTCTCAGAAAAACAGTCATTTATGAAGTCAGAATACAATACCCTAGAAACTGACAACAGGTCTGTCCTTTATAACTATTAAAAACAGAAAACAAAGTATTGATCATCAGGACCTGTACAAATCAGTACAAAATTAGTACAAATTTCTGACAAACACCAAGGCACAGAGTGGTTAAGTTCTGGAATTCAATGCCAAACAATGAATATTAAAGTAGCCAAAAGTAGCTAAAAGAAAGACTTTTATCTATCAAGAAATGTTCATTTAAATAATCTAGGACTACTTCTCCACGAGAAATCAAGGAAAAGATTGTGATGCACCCCCCCAAATAAGATAATCTACATAACTGAGCAATGGTTAAAAAAAAAAAAGATAGAATTTCAACATAGGAGAAACATTTGATTGGTTCCTCCAAAAGAAGCCAGAATTGCATAGATTATGTGAATTCTAAACTATTCAGCCGATCATTCATCATGCATTTGTTGTGTTCCTCCTATGAATCAGGAACTGTACTAAGCATTAGGGATACAAAAGAATGCCAAAAAAAAAAAAAATAGGTACAGTTAACAAGAAAAGACTAAACCATAAATCAACTCAGCTTTCTAAGGTAAGGCAAGACCTGAAAAAACCTTTATTTTTTTTTTAAAACAATAACTAACGGCCAAAGAGAAAACAAAGAATTATTAGGGGACAAAAGGATGTATGAGGATAAAGATTTAAGGGGAGCTAAACGCAGGAAGAAGAAGGTATGGACAAGAATTGGATTACTATTTGGCAGACTGAAATCCACATTCCCTCAAAAAGGAGATGAGTGAAGGTAAAACAGGGAAGTCACTCATGTGCAGTATGGGAGAGAAGAGTAAGAAGGAACCAGCTTGCCATGGGTTTGAGCAGAGAAAGGATCATAATTTTGCTGGTCCCTGAACATCTACATGGGGAGATTTTGTAGAGCAGGGTAAGAAGACGCGAGTGGAAAGACTTGGGTGGAAGAAAGGAATATAGGAGGCTAGTCTTTCTCTAGAAGGGTTAATAATGAGGGGAGGCATTGAAGCGTGTACCCATGGGGGTAGAGGGAAGAGTGATGAACTTTCTTTGGAGTGGATGGATACCATAAGAGACCACCACCTCTGAGTGGTGGGTATGCTTCCCAAGACTGGATCAAACCTCAGGAGAGGGGGAAGGAGATGTCCCCATAGGTGGCTGGCTTCCAAAGTAGAAGGGGTGGGTACCTTGGATCCAGTGGTAGGATGGGCCTTAAAGAGGGTGGAGTGGCGATGGTAATGGTGTGTACATGGTGGCTGGACCTGGTCTCATAACCCATCAGACAGAGCACTTCTCATCAAACCACACAGCCTTCTTCATGACTGATTATTTTCTGAGAGTCAGCCTCCAGAGATTAAGGCCCTTCCAAAGAAACTGATGGCGAAGGCAGGAGTGGATGAGGTCTGAATGGGTGCTAAGAGGGGAATGGGATAGAGGAAAACCTAAAAGTATTTCCTCTTCTAGAAACCCGCTGTAGTGTGACAAAGGAGAATGAACAAAGAGAGAGATGTCAGCATATAGCTTGGGACTAGGAGACCAGAAGAAATGAGGATAAAGTCCAGTAACAATTACAGCTCACATTTATATAGCACCAACTTAGGGCTTGCCAGGTGCTTTACATATGCCGTCTCTTTGGATCCTCACAACAACTCTGGCAGGTAGGCCCTATTTTTATCCTTATTTTGCAGATGAGGAAACTTAATACTATCCTAAATAATAAGTAAGTCAAAGAACAAAATCATAGAAACAAGGAATGATTATGCGAAAGGAAAATGGTAATGATGAAGCAATATACCAAAATTTCTATGATGCAGCAAAAACAGTCCTCAGAGGAAAAATATTCCTCTAAAAATATAAAATAAAAATAAAAAATTTCTCTAAAATATATGCAAAATAGAATATGGGGTCCTGCCCTGTAATGTGAGTTATGTGGTAGAGTTGCTCAGACCAAGAAGAAGTGGTTCTGGTCACCATGAACTGTGGTTCAGAAGATAAACTGTCTACAATGCTAGATTTCCCAGTAGGGTTTCCCACTAGGGCTGTTCACATGGATTTAAAAAGATTTAAAAAGTTAAAAAACCAGTGAGGACCTAAATCCCTCTTATTCTCACTGATCAACAAGGTGCTTCATAAGCCCCGGCAAGGATCCAGCCCAAGGGAAAGCTGAAATTTGTAGCTAGCACTGGGTAAGCAAATTCCAGCCTGTTCTGGTCCAACCTGTGTGCAAATTATTCTCCGAAATTGAAAAAGAAATCACTCTACTAGGTTTTTTTGGGGGGAGGGTTCTGTTTTTTCTTTTACAACATGACTATTATGGAGTGTTTTACATGACTTCTAGATAGAATTGCTTGCCTTCTCAATGGGGGTGGGGAGTGGGGAAGGAGGAAGAGAGAGAATTTGAAGCTCAAAATTTTAAAAATGAATCTTAAAAATTGTTTTAACATGTAACTGGGGAAAAATAAAATACTAAATAAATGAAAAAAAATCACTCTACTAGACTTCTTTAAGAGACAAAAATAGTCCTAACAACTAAATCAGGGAAGTCTATTTGCATAGTTGGTTTTCTAATTTTTAAAAATGCATATTCAGTTCATTAACTTACATCACCATCTTTCAGATCACATGATCTCTTTAAGTGAAGAGTAATCAGTGAGATTCCAGTGGTTTATTCTAAGAAATGTAAAACCGGTCATGAATACCTTTGATGTTGTAGCTCTATTACTTTATTTTTTCTATGGTTT